GCTCATCAACACGAAAAATCTCGTAGATGCGCCAATCAGGTGTCAGCGCATGCTCATGCGACTGATGCGTTACAACGCAACAGCGGTGTTCATTCCAGGGAAGCAGCACCTGGTACCGGACTTCCTCTCGCGTCACCCACTCCAGAAACACGATGCGATCGGCGCTGTGCTACAGGAAGACGTCCACAACTTCTGCAAGAGGGTCTTCGATGACCTGCCCGCCACACCGCAGCGTCTGGTGGAGATCAGCAGGGCACAACAGGCAGATGAACTCCTCCAGCGCGTGGTTCAGCAGACTCTCTCTGGCTGGAAGGAGGGAGCAAAGCACCCCGACATGCTGGACTACTTCGCCGCGCGTGGAGAAATCAGCGTTCTCTACCTGACAAGCGGCACACTGCTGATGTACGGCCGCCGCATCATCATACCGCCTAGTCTGCGTGAAGAGATGCTCAACCGTCTACACGACGACGGTCACTTCGGGCTCAACAAGTGCCGCCAGCGAGCAGCAGAATCCGTCTGGTGGCCCAAGATCAGCATCGACTTGAAGCGCCACATCGAGCACTGCGCGTTCTGCCAAGTGCACGCGCCCTCCCAGCACGCTGAGCCACTGGTAACGACTCCAACGCCGTCAAGACCGTGGACTCACATCGCAGCAGACATCTTCCACTTCAACAACAGCAACTGGCTCGTGACTGTGGACCTCTTCAGCAGGTATCTGGAAATCCAACGCCTGCCCAGCCTCACAAGCACCGCAGTCATCGAGCGGCTGAAGCGCCTGTTCTCCAGACTGGGGATACCGGATCTGATGACAACAGACGGAGGAACGCAGTTCACTTCCAGCTCATTCGCCGACTTCGCAGCGTCGTACGGCTTCACACATCGCGTCACTGACCCGCACACGCCATCATCCAACGGAGCAGCTGAACGGGCCGTGAGGACCGCAAAGTGGATACTTCGCCAAAAAGATCCTCACCTCGCTCTCCTGAACTACCGAACAACGGCTGTGGAAGCCACTGGATACTCCCCAGCCCGGCTTCTGATGGGACGTGAGCTTCAGTCCCGTCTCCCCGTCGCTCAGCAGCCCGCCAAGAAGGCATGGCGGCACGCCAAACTTCGCGATGGGCGGAGAAAGAAGAAACAGGAGTCAACCGTCAATCAGAGGCGAGGCGCCCGCAACCTGCCTCCGCTGCAGCCCGGCGCCAGAGTCCGGATCAAGACAGAAAGGGGCAGCTGGTCGGAGCCCGCCATCGTCACGCAAAGGCTCTCCAGACGCAGCTATCTGGTGGAGCTGGGCGGCTGCCAATATCGCCGCAACCGACGGCACCTGCTGCTGATCCCTCCTGTTCCGTTACAGGTCCCGGCACAGCACGGAACCGGGCAACGGGCAGCACCAGTGCCACCTCCGGTGGTGCCGCCGACATCCGTGGCAGCACCACGCCCGGTGGTGCCGCCACCACCACCACAGCAGCTTCCGCCAGCTGCGCCGTCACCTGAGCCGGCGACGTCTCCGCTGGCACCCGCTCCGCCATCAGTGCAGCCCGCTGACGACCCTGTACACGTTAGCCCTCGTAAAACTCGCAGCGGTCGGATATACGGGGATTAAGAAAACCAGCTTTGTGCTTGGAGTACAGCTTAGCTTTCTATAGGAGATCTTATTAGCACACGCACCGCCCGGGCCACCGCCGCCCCGCTCGCTGAATACAGTTCTCGGCTGGTACTGGTGGCGTCTGCACCCTGGGGTTCGTGAGCCAAGCAAGCAAGCACACAAACAACTTCCCTCCAGAATCGCGGTGAGAGTTGGTGTCCGCCTCGGTCGACGCTCGCTCCGTGTTGTGAAGCGTGTCTAATTCAGTGTACCGTGCTGTGGTTGTGGAGTAGCCGCGTCGACGCGTGGAGGGTCGGTGAGGGCCACGCGCCGCTGTGGTGTAACCCTGACGCGCTGAACGGTCTCTTCCTGCCCCCGGTCAGGTCACGTGTTGGTGGTTAATATGTCGTTTTGTATCTGTGTGGACTGTGGGTCCCTTTCCTGTGTCGACTCTGAGCATTGCGCATCAGTGCAATGTGCGTTGGTACGTGATAGTTGATACACAATGTGCATTCGGTTACGTGCGAGTGCTTGTTGATGAACGCACGTGTGCGGGTGACAAGCGTCTCTGTTGAAGCGCAGTGGTTTGTGTCTCCCTCCCTCCCTCCCCCCTCCCTTCCTCCCTTCCTCCCTTCCTCCCCTCCCTTCTCTCTCTTTCTTTCTCTTTCTTTCTCTCTATCTTCCTTTCCGTCTCCTTCTCCCTTCCTTTCCATCCCCCATCCACTGGCCTCTTCCTACCCTCCGCACTCTCAGCAGCAGCGCCGACACACCTCAGAATAATTCAGCTCACACCCCGTCCGCGTGTGCTCTGCCTACCACCGCCGATCTGTGCGGCGCACAGTCCCGGTTGATCTCACCTCCTGTCGTGCCTCTGATCGGCACCGGCCCGACTCCGACCCGTCTCCCCGGCGCAGAGACGGGTCGGAGTCGGGCGTATAGAGCAGACGGGTAGAGACGGGCGCGTAGACGACCGATGTGACCGCGATGTCCTCTCCACGGTCCGGTCTCCCGTCCGTCGGAGAGATGCGGCGGGTGGCGGCGGGCAAACCGGTTTATTCACTGCTCGTATGCAGGGTAAGGCGGGCTGACTGGGTGCGTTCACCTGGCGTGCGGAGGCTAGGTGTAGAAATAACGCATATTGGGGCAATGCAAGGCGCTGGCTGAGTCCTAGAAAATTTGCGGATGGTGCGGTTACAGCCTTGCCCATTCATGATGGTTCTATCTCAGCGATCGTGTCAACCCGTGTGTGTCGTTGATCTCCATCAGTCGCGGAATCAGAGGCGGTGTGAGTGGCGTGACCTGTGGTCTCTGTCACCGACTTGTCACACAAGCAGATCGTCACGCGCGAGGTCAAGGCCGGCAAACATGTTCACAGGAGGCCTGTGTTCAAGTATGCAGGCATTCGGGTGCACTCGACCCGATTCTCATGTTTGTTTTACTCTCAATAGGTACTGATGAGCGTCAATGAGCACTACAGTCCGGAGGCATCTTAGGTAAATCTTACATAATCATCAACGATAGCACCTGATCATTTGCCGGTGTATCGAACGTCCCAGACAAGCCATTTTTGGATGGAATAGCTGTTTCTATTTTTGTCTGCAATAATGTGACGATTTTACGGTGTTGCTGGATCTGGATTCAGCGAAATCAAGCTAAGAAGGCCGTGCTCTCGAAACATTGGTATATATCCTCGACCTCCTTTCTTTCCTCTTCTCAGTATTCCTCTTACCCTCTCTATTCCTCTCCTCCTCTCACTTATCTTCTCTCTCTGTCTCTCTATCTCTCTCTCTCTTTCTCTTCTCTTTCTCTCTCCTTTCCCTTTCTATCCGCGCTCGGCATCCCTCTGCTTTAGATCCGTGCCAAAACACCGCTACACCCTCCCCCATTTTCCCAACCCTTGTCACGATACCTTCCTCCTCCTCCCCTCCCCCGTCACGGTATCTCACCTGCCTCGCTCCTGTGCCGTCTGCCCCCCCCCCCCCCTCCTCACTAGTCAGACGGCCTTGGCAATCCGCGCACGGAGAAAGGGTTCGACTTGTTTGCCAGTCGCGCTTTGGGACGACGATTATGCCGATTTGAAAGTACCCACCACCACTGTTTTGGCCACTGGCATCCATTCCCTGGCGCAGTGTGCGCTGGCTCAGTCCACAGACCGTGTTGTCACTCCACGCAGAGATCTATTGCACCGACACGCCGTAATTGAGATGCAATGGCCTGCGAGTGAGTGAGACGCGGCCGGTGGAACGCGCACGTGCGGCGGCCTGCCCCCGTCCTGTGCGCCGGGAAGTGAGGTTATTTGGACGGCGCGTCCGCTTTAGAGACAGACGGGCATGTGCTGCGCGTGTTTTACGCTTGAGCGCGCTTCACACCATGCTTCGCCACCACATCATCATGTTTCACAGCGTGACAGGCTCGCCAGCTGTGTGCCGTTCTGGAAGCGAGATGCAGGGCGCAAATGCTGAGGGCCAAGTTGCGGAGCGCAAAGGTGCTGTGTGCTTATATCCGTAAATTGACGGACATTTGCTGTATTTGACTGGTTAGGCATAAATTCCATGTTCTGGGAGAGAAATATCTGGTATCCATTCCTATTGACGGGTTATCGATTGATCATGATGCACATAGAAAGATATTTATATTGCTGGGCGCTTTTAACAATACTTTTCTGTGACATTATACGTATTACTTATTTATCGATGTAACAGGGCAGCTGCGCTGGGGATTATCTTAGTTTTGAGTGTGAACGGCCTATGCCTAGTGACTAGGCTTTGTGACGCACACACAGCCAACACAAAGTTGTTTTACTGTTGAAGATAAAACACTGGTTACGAAAGTGATAGCCTTAATCAGCGTTTGAATCAGCGCATATATCTCAGTGTGCGTATGAACACTGCACTTATCTCGTCTGTCGCGACAACAGATAATACTGGCCGATCTATAATCCATATCACACAGGGGCGCTTGCCGCCATATGCTGAGATACGGGCTAGTTCGTGAGCGGGCTCTGTTGTGCGAGGCGGATCTATTTTTCTGAAGTGTTCAGGGAGCCGTTTGCTTGCTTTAGAGAGTTAATCGTGAACAAGCTTTCGTAAGCCTCCGGGTAGCTTGTCTTGACCACGATATTCGTGTACTGATGTTTAACATTCCTCTGACTCTGCATCCGTGTGATTGAACATGTCTTGAATCGTTTCCAGTGGCAGCTTTGCCTTTGCGGCGATGTTGAATGTTCCATTACCCGTTTCGTCTCGCTTGCAGTATTGTTTTTGATGCAGTACCTGAACTCGCCAGCTTATGTATGTTGAGGGCAGGTCTGAGGGGAACCCCACTCTCTCTATCGCCAATGGACAAGCATAATGTATTCGTGTCTCGACTGTACTGTCGCTCCACCCTCTGACCTCCCCTCCCCTCTGTCCGGCAGCTCGGCCGCGTCAGAGAGGGGCTCCACGCCGACGTTCCAGGCGGCCGCTCGGAGTATCAGTCAGGAGCTGGTCCGAGAGCGCGACCAGAGCCTGACCGAACGGTGGACAGACTCGCTGCGCAAGTCGCGCGATCGGCTCCGCAAACGGTTCTCGCTGAAGGACGAGCGTCGCCCGGCCAGTGAGCCTGCTGGGGGTGCTGCCGCAGAGGAGGACGACCCGTCGCCGCCGCTACCAGTGGGGTCCGATGGTCAGGAGCGCAGGAGCCGTCGCGATGGCGCCAAACGGGCCGATGTCTTTCTGCAGCCGGTACGCCGATTTGGAAAGGTAGCCAGCCGCAGCGCCGTCGGCAAGCCGGTGGTGCGATTCGCCAAGACCTGCCGGCGCGACGTGCCGAAGCCCTATCGGTTCATCAGAGACAAGCTGCGCTCGAGGAGCTCGGAGCCGCAGCGGCTGAGATCGGACAGTCCGCGGCCGCGCTCCCTCTCACCATCCAACGGCGGGAGCAACAACGAGGACGAGATCGTGTTCGCGTTCGGCACGGCCAAGGAGCAGGAGGAGCACATCTACGACCCGGTCGGAGAGCCGCCTGAAGTCGACCGGACGATCCGAGACGCGGACGACGAGGACGACGCCGACGACGTATCGCCGGTAGTGGAGGAGCCGGAGGACGACTTTTCACGTTTCTCGCGTTTTAGTAAGACGCAGTACGAGCAGGAACCGGCCAGGAAGACGGAGTCGGCGCGCTCAGAGCCCGAGCAGAGTTCCCGTACTCCTACCCCGTGTCTGAAAGATACCTCAGATAGCGGCCGTAACAGCCGGCCGGGATCACGTTCATCGAGAACAGAGGACTTTCCCAAGTCGGTCCGCTTCGGCAAGAAGCGCGTCTCGGACGGTTCTGACAGCGTGGGCGTGCGCTTCAAGCCGCTGTCGACCTCCTCCAGTCAGGACGAGGACGTGGGCAGCTACCACGGCCTCCAGCGCGTCAGAGTTCAGCTGAAGGACGACGCCACCGGACTCAACATCGTCAGCAAGATCGCCCAGCAGCAGCCGCAGCAGCAGACGCCGCCTCAGCCGGACGTGGTAGCCCTGCCGCCGATCGAGATCCGTCAGCTGGACGAGCCACCGCGCGTGCTGAGACCCCGATCGAACCAGTCAACACCCGAGAGTCCTGTGTCGTCGGACACAACGCCTGTGTTCACACCAGTAGAGACAACACCACCAGTCTCAGCATCTACACCATCCGAGCCGGCCAGAGGAAAGAAGCAGAGAGCACTACCGTCCTGGGCCTCGTCGAGCAAACCGGCGCCTGCTGTAGTGCCTAACGACCCGCCCCCTCCGCCGCCGCCGGCCGCTGTAGCCGGACCGAGCGTCACACCGGTGCGCGCTGCTGTGACTGTCGAGACGACTGTGGTCTCTTACGAGGAGCCGGAGCCAGATCCGGAGCCGGAGCAGATCAGTGAGCCGTCTCCGCCGGAGATCACACTCACTACCGACTGCCGGCCGCCGCGCCCGCCGCCGCCCGCTCCGGAGACTCTGGAGCGCTGCCGCCGTCCCCTGCAGGCGATCGATAACATCCAGAAAACCGAGCCGAAGACGAAGGAGCCGCCGGCGCCGCGCGAGCCGTACCAGCCTAAGATCCGTGAGTACGCCGAGAGCCGTCGCGCGCTCACCCTCAAACCGCCGCGTAAGAAGAAGCGGAGTGACGCTACCGATCCACGCTCGCAGTCTGCTGATCAGGCGGACCGTGCTGACGAGCGGACGATCGCCATCTTCGGCACGGTTACCAGACCCGCTCGCACCAAGCGCCGCGGTGTGTCAGCCTCGGCTGTGGACCGCGCGCCCATCAGCCGCGAGCCGCCGCCCCGTCCGCCGCCGCCGGCGCCGCGCCGCCCGCCGCGCGGCAGGAGTGGCAGCCGGGGCCGCCGCGCCGCTGTGTCGCTAAACGACGTGCGCTACGCCGACGAGTCTGCCACTGAGGAGTCTGCCGACTACGGCGACGGCCGCAGCTACCGCCGGCTCCTGGACGACGCCGACCAGGGTCCGTACCGTCCGACGCGCTCGCTGACGCGCCCGGCGCGCCGCTCGCTGCCTCAGAGTACCGTCACCGGGCGCCTGGTGGTCGGCGGGGGACAAATCCGCGTCCAAGGAGACGAGGAGACACCGCCGGCTCGACCCAGCCGCGGCGGCCGCGGGCAGCTCGAGCCGTCCGCGCGCGGACATAACGACACGTTCGACAGCATCGGCGAGGGCCCGGACGCTGCGCACGAGACCGTCCAGCGCGCGCCGGGCAGTGTGACCAGCGAGGGGCCGCGCTCGCTGCACTCGTTCCAGCAGGAGGAGCTGGGCAGCGGCGACGAACTGATGCTGATAGTACACGACTCAGAGCGCGACGGCCAAGGAGACTCGGGCAGGAGGGAGCCAGAGTTGTGTCTAGTGAGCAGACAGAAGGAGGGGAAGGAGAACCAGCCGGAGGGAGACCGGGAGAGCTCGCCCGAGGTGCAGCTGAGGAAACTGACTCCGGGGAGGCCCGAGTACGCGCACGTGCGGAAGCGCTCTTCGCTGCTGCTGAGAGAGCAGGAGGCGGACTACGACTATCCTCCGCCGGTGCCGAAGAAGCTCAACGACCTGCGACCGTCGTCTCCGTCCGCGCCGCCGCGCAGGAGACCGGCTAGCCTCTCACCGGGCCGGGCCGGGCTGGACGGAAACACTACCTGGCCAAAGAGGCGCCACACCACCGCCCCGGCGGACTCTGACGTGACGGACGCGCCGGTCGCGCCGCCGCCGCGCACCGTTCGCCGCAATAAGGTGCGCAGCAGCACCGTACCTAGAGGCTTCAAGGCGAACAGGAGCATGAGACCCACGCTCTACCACCTGGCCAAGGAGCAGCGATCGCAGGAGGACGGTGTGGACATGAAGAACCGGCCGCTGCCGCCGCCACCACCACCGCCGCGCAAGAAACCGTCAGCGTACTCCAACCCGAGCCTGAATGCTGACTGTGTCGCCACGACTGAAGCACCAGTAGTTGTGCAGATGCAGACACAAGAGACTGCGCCGGCGCCGCTGCCAGTGGCCGAAACTCCAGTCAATGAGACCCCGGCCGTAGTCGCGGCCTCGCCCTCGCCTCCGGCCCCGGAGCCGGAGCCTGTTGAGATGGTCGGTGTCTCCCCGGCCGGTTCTGATCAGGAGCTCTCCTCCCAGGCCACTGACGCGCCCTCAGAGATCACCCTGCGCTCCGAGGGCAGCCAGGCGACCCTGACCTCCGGCCGCGACCCCGGCTGTGAGAGCACGGATGACGAGTTCTTCTCGATGGCCAGTGAGGCGGACGGCCGCCGTCGCACTCCCACCTCGCCAACCGACAGAGGAAAACAGGACAGCCCGGCTAGCGGCTCAGCCAAGCCGCCGGGACAGCAGCAGCTGGAGAAACACCAGCAGCAGCAGCAGCAGGCCGGCCTGGTGGCCGCCGCGCCGCGGCACGTGCTCGTACCGCACTTCATCCAGCGTGTGTCCACCTCGGAGATGGACGCGGCGTCGGCCAACATCCTCGACCTGACCGCCGGCAGGATTAAGGTGACCGAGCTGGAGGTGGACCGCATCTACATCCGTGAGGGACGGGTCAAGCTCATCTGCCACGAGGAGGGCAGTGACGACGAGGGCGCCGGCGCGGGCGGCCGCACGGCCCCGCCGCCGCCGTCGCCGGCCGAGCCGCGACTGCCGCCGGCTGACGGGCCGCCAGGCGGCGCCAGCGGCACGGACGGCGGCAGCGGCGGCGGCGGACAGCCGGCCGGGGCGGCCGGCGGGGCCCCGCGCTCCGCCGCCGCCGGCGCGGCCGGAGGGACTGGCGAACCGAGCAGCAGCTCCGACTCGTCGTCTGAGAGCCGCGCGCCCGACCCGGCCCTGCTCCGGGAGCTGGACGCCGTCGAGAACCAGCTGCGGCAGATCGGGTCGTGTCTGCAGGAGATTCAGCGCGGCGGCTGCCGCGGCCGGAGCGAGCCGGTGCCGAGCGCGCCGCCGGCCGCCGGCCGACACTTCATCCCGCGCCGGGACGGTGACTCAGACGACTCGGCCGCAAAGCGGAAGAGCGCCGAATGCGAGGACGCCAGTCCGCCGCGCTCGCCGGTCGCTGCCGGGCCGTCCGTGCACGCGCGCCTCGAGGGCATAAAAACAGCACTTGAGCAAGTGATATCGCCCGAGCGACAGGCGCTGTCGGCGTCGGCCATACAGTCTGGCGCCGCCCCTGCCGCCGGCGACACAGACGGCCGGGCCCCCGCGCCGGCCGCGCAGTGCGCGCCCGACAACGACTCGGAGTGTATCTACGGCATACCGGCCGAGGTTGCCGACGCGCCGGGCCGGCGAGTGCGTCTCAGTCAGCTGTTCACGTTCAGCTCGTTCGGCAAGGGCCTGCGCCGGCGCTCGGGCGCGCGCAAGGAGCGCAGAGCGCACAGCCAGTTTTACGTGGATCTCGACCGTTCGGACTCGGACAGCAGCGGTCTCGAGCAGCACCCTCGGCCGCACAGTGACCCGTCTCTCGACTCGTCCTCATCGGGCAGTGGAACTCGCAGCTCCTCAGAGACAGTCGTCATGGGCGGCACGACCAGCCAGCCGGAGAGGCGCGTCATTCCCAAACATCAGCTGGTCAAACATCAGCCGGCTGACGGCTGCTTGCAGTACGCCCGGGTCATACAGGAGTTCAGCAGCAACCTGCAGAACCTGTGCAGACAGGTGCCCAACGGGAACACCATCGGCGGCACGGGCGGAGGCACGTCAGACGAGGCGCCCGACCCGGACCCGGCCACCGAGCCGCCGCCGCCGGCCGCGGAGAACTCCGACTCGGACTCGGAGTCAGAGACTCTGCACACGGCGTGCGACCAGCCGCCGCCCTCGCCGGACGCCAGCCGATCGTTCCTCGTGGCGAAAGAGATGATGACCTCGGAAGAGACGTTCGTCGACGCGCTGCGTCTGCTGAACGAGGACTTTCGCGCGGCGGCGCTATCCGTTCCGCCTGACGCCAGTCCTGCCGGCATCCCTGCGGCCGACCTGGACCAGATTCTGGTTCACCTGCCCTCGCTTCAGAAACTCAACGAGGAGCTACTGGCCGACCTGCGCGCGCGTGTCGCTAACTGGAGCCGCCAGCCGCGTATCGCTGATGTGATCGTGCGCAAGGGTCCGTTCCTGAAACTCTACTCGGCCTACATACACGACTTCCAGGCTCAGAGTCACATGCTGGACGACTGCCGGAGTCGGTACCCGGGCTTTGACGCGGCTGTGACGAAGTTCGAGGCCAGCCCGCGCTGCCAGAAGCTGTCGGTGAAGCACTACATGCTGAAGCCGGTGCAGCGGCTGCCGCAGTACCGACTGCTGCTGCAGGACTACCTGAGGCGGCTGGAGGTGGGCTCGGATGACTACGACAATACCCTCCGGGCGCTGGAGGTGGTCTGCGAGGTGGCAGAGCACGCCAACAAGAGCATGAAAGAGGGGGTGAGTACTGAGAACTGGGGGCACGTGCTGATGAGTCAACCCGCACTCACCATCACGTGAGGGACTCCGCGTACAATTACAGTATAATTATGCAACAAGTTCTGGCTGACTATTTCGTTCATCAGCCAGTTGTGTTATAGCTAGTATTAGCCGCACCGTAGTTACTGTTTGATGTTTGACCAGGTATGCACAATTACTGCCTTGTAGCCGGTTTTCTTATCCGTTGTTTCGTGTACACTGGCCATTTTCCCTCCGTGGAAGGAGCCCGCTGGTGACTCACTCCACATACCCACGGCCACGTCCTTGTTAACGGCCAGGGCTGGATCCTGTAACGATGCGATATACACTGGGATGGAGACTGCAAACCTACCCTGACAGCCGCTCCGCCAGAGCCGGCCGCCGCCGTCTGTGTGCGTTTTCGGGGCCTGTTTACCCTGCTGAAGGCTGCTGTTCTCCCTGATAGTGCCGTGGACATTGTTCGGGCCCCAGAGTCGTTCATAGGAGCGCAATCAGGGGCCGATTTCGCCACTGAGTCATGCACCGCGGCCTGTCCCGTGCACTGTGGTCCGAGATATCGCTCTGTCTCGGTGCCCCCCCCCCCCCTCCTTTTCCGGCCCTGTCTCGGTGCCTGAGGCCGCCTCTGGCGCTGTGTTCCCGCCGTCACGGCTCGTCACAGCGTGGCGTGTGGCACGCGCCGCCGCCCGTGCGGTCTGTGAGACCGTCACATAACCGCCGACCCGCCGGCACCGCCGTGTCGAGCTGGTATGTGGGTGTTGTCAGGTTACAATCTATCCTACAAAGCCTCATCTATCTGATGGTGGCATGTAGCGTTCACATTTGTATCACATGATGATGGAACAGAACTATGGGAACATTTTACCCTTGTCAGCATGCGTCAGCTTCTCTTTACGCTCTACTCTTAATACCGCTCATCGTGTCACGTTTGACAGCTCTTGCCGCTCCCGCAGTAAGTCGCCGCTGCGTCATTGAGTGGAAACGATTTGAACACGCCGCACCAGCCGGCAGCCCCGACCTCGACCCCCCCCCCCCCCCCTCCGTCCCGATCCGTCCTCACGTGGGTATTGTTTCACGTGATCAGTGGCGAGCGGCGGGCGCGGCACGGCGGCGCGAGGCGCGGGCTCGGGTTACCAGCCGGTCATTGTCCCGTTCTCTGGGCCACTTCGTGAGCGGGAAGCTGAGTAGGGCGGTAGGGTCTGCCCGGGAGGTAACAGGACTGGTCAGGTTGGCGCAGGGCTATATAAACCGTATAAACCGATGGGCGTACCTGCTGCTCCCTGTGTCTGTTAGTTTTGACTATCAGCCCCACTGACCATTTACTCTTCAATCAGATAATTGTGTTTTCCAACAGATTCGGTCTAGGGATCACAGTTTTGAATGGTAGGATGTAGGCCATACGCCGTCTAAAAAAGTCGCTTCACCAGTTTTCATCCTCATTATCAAATGCCAGCTGTATCTATAACCCGTCCACACAAGTGTGACCTTTGAACTCTTCCCAGGTTGACCCAACCGTACTCAATCAGACCTTAGGCAGAGCACTGCACTCAGCAGCGTGGTTGAAACGGTACCGGGTTCGGTTTCAGCTTACCTCCCGTGCTGCGGGCGTTATTTCAGGCTGACGTGTGTCGTGTGGTCTGGGTAACGGAGCACCTGTAGCACGTGCTGTGTCACCCAGCACCCCCCCCCCCCCCGGATCCCCTCCCCTGATACCGGCTAGTGCTAACCAGTACGGGGACACGCCTGCTAAATAGTCAATGTCAGGCCGGACGAGAGCGGTTGTGCATGGCATTTGAGAGCGGTCGTGCATGTCATTTGGAACAGGCCGTTGGAAGGGCTAGTTGGCGTATTTTGGTCGAGTATGGTGAATGATAATTGGGTTTTGCACTTAGTAACAGTCTGGTGATGATGCGTGATTTCTAAGTACGAGTTTCGAGCTGTTAACCTTTGCCATGGTGACTGTTGGACGATGGTCAGCTCCGACCTTTCATTCCATGTTATGTTACATGAACATTTTAAATTCGGAGTCGTTTACTCTAGCCTTGTCCGTCGGCGTCGTGAAGTCATTTTCACCGTCCTTATCGCCTCTCGTCAGCTTGCGCCCTATCTGGGGACAGAGATTTGGTAGCTGGGCGGAACCTGTCAGGGCCGCGGTGAACCCCGCAGGACGGTTGTGTCGGCGCCCGCACCTCTCTCAGACCGACCGCCGCGGGCAGGTCGCTCAGCAGTCGGCGATACGAGTGCAGCTGTAATTTGGCGGTTTATTGAGCACCGTGCAGCTAGCCGTCACTTAGCGACCATCTCGGCGGGCGCCGCCCCTCTGGCCCGACGTTTGTTCTGAGCCGATCGCGTGCGACCGGGGAGCGCCGATGGTGGCCCTCGGTCAGGGAGGTCCGGTCAACCCGCGGTCAGTGCATGGTCGCGGCGCGGTCAGTGCATGGTCGCGGCGCGGTCAGTGCATGGCTGATCCGTAGTCAAAGCGTAGTCGTAGACGGTCGAGACTTGCCAATATGGGACGGTTCGCTCAAATCTTCACTAGAAGCCCGGTCAAGTGGTCAGTGGTCATTGGTCAATGCCTCATACTCGATGCTCGTTTGGTAAGCGATCACGCCACTTGATCTTATTCAGTTGAAAATCAGTATACCTTCCAGCAAGTCAGATGGCCAGTGCAATGTGCATTGTGCATGTCATGGCGATTTTTATGCCGGGATTTAATAGCACCTCATCAAAATAATTTGACTCGGACTGTTTGATGTTTACCCTTGCCTGGCAGCTGGTTGTGTGTGCTCTGTGGGCGTGGTTTGGTAATGACACCATTCGTCAGAGAGCCCCGGGCTGCCTGCCGTGTCTGTCTGTCTGTCTGTCTGTCGGCGCTGCGCCGCCTCGGGCTTTGGGCTCTGCAGAGTGCACCGCACAGACGTGAGAATGGGCTAAGATGAGCCGTTAAACACAAAGAGCCACTCCGCGTGCTGACCGGTTTCCATGGGTCTGGTTTCCATTGACGAGAGCCAGTCGGAAGTCAGTGGCAGACGTCGGAAAGGCCATCAGGGTTTTTGTTCTCAATCCATGACGTCATCCTTCTGAATGTCTCATCTCCGTGTCCGGGGTATTATTATGGTCGATCTCCGAACTACAGAAATAGTCTTTCGTAGCCAGTGTTTCGTCACGCCTCGTCTCGACTCCCCATTCATGTGACCAGCTGGATTAGCTCACAAGCTTGCGCCCATGTTTACGTTAGCGCATGGCGCGTGCGTACTGCGTGTGTGCGTCCGTGTTTGACTGTATGTGTGCCTGTACGCCCACCGGGGCGGCGGGCCGCTGCCTCGGTCCGGCTGGGGATGCCCCTCGGCCCTCTGTTATCGCTGGTCCCGCTTCCCCCGTCCGGCCTTGGGGACACTGGACACTTGGACAGGCCCTATCGCGAGCGTCGCTTTCCTGTGTGGAATGGCGACAGCCCTTTCTGCGTATTAGACGGCGGGCGGCCCGTTTCATGGGTTGAGATGAGTGGCAATGTGGCACGTACCCGTTGTGACGGGCTGGGGAATATGGTGCAAATCTATGGGCATTAACTCTGAGATGAAGTACAGTCCACAGCAGAAGTAATGTGGGGTTTCAGTCATGGGTATGTTCTGCTTCTGAAGCTTAGGAACGATTAGCCAGACTACAATGAAACCTTGAATGTAGCTTATATGTATCGTCACCCTTGCAGCTGCAACTTTAGCTATTGACATCTTCTTTTCGATCACTCCGCATTAAACAATCGCCAGTCAAAGCCAACCGTTGAGATTGGTAAAACCCTACATTACTTTAGCGGTGGGCTGTACTAACGCTGGGCTGGTTGATTCGATAACTGCTTGCCACGTTTACATATTCCATCTGATTGGTTGTAAACGCATCAGAAAAATATTTAGATCTTAACTTCTAGACTCTTTTTTGTGTATCTATTGTTCATTTCCAGTGTTCTCACATTTTAATGTTCTTTCAAGTGTTATAACGTCGAGTCTGGATGATAGTATTTGAGTCGAGTCCGTCAATACAGCTCAAGATCCATCGTTCACGTTTTGCCAGTTTTTCCCCGCAGTCCCTGTGAGTGACCGGTTCGTCGTTGTTTTCCCTATTCGTTCCAGGGCTCGCTAGTTTACCTCGACCATGGCTCTGTGTTTCGTCAATGGTGCCTTGTCTCTGGGTATCTTCACTCGTGCAGCTCGTGTCGAAAAATAACGCCGATAGGAGGAGCCGGTTTTACCAGCTGGGTGGACCGAAAGGCCTTGAGTGGAACAGTCGTGGCGATACTGGAGTTTCAGTGGCGCTTTGAGCTGCATGGTATTTGATTGTGCATTCGTTTTGAGTTTTTGATGACTATGTCACTTGTCATCTCCGTCCCAGTACTTGTCCCAATACTCGACTTCCTGTGTTAATCTCCCGGCTTTCCAGTTCTCCTAGTTCCCAGCTCCCTGGTATCCACTCCACAGTTGTTGCTGTCCTCAGTGCATGCCGTCTCCAGCAAGTAGCAACTCGATATTGACGGGAAGAGGTCCCCCTAGCCTATCCGGTTTGTTGAATCATCGCTGCACTACCCTCATCATACACTACTCTCAGCATAGCCACAATTCGGATCTGGCTAGATTTTCAGCCGTCGCCGCAGGTTTTTTTTCTGAACTGGTCTCGTACAGGCCGGCCGTGCCGTAGCAGGCGACACGTCGCTTCAGTCTGTGTTGCGTATGTACGTTTAGCGCTGGTCGGGCGGCGGGCCACATTTCCTCACTGGGGCGACTATCGCATCCGGCAGCTTGCTCCGTTTGACTCTGTCGCGCTGCCACACGTGTCGACGTGCGGTGCTGTGCAAAAACGACACAGCCTTTGTTTGAGTCTTTTGGGGTGGGCTGGTTGGAGAAGTCATGTTCCAGAAGCCGTTTTCTTTTTCGGGTGTCTTCTTTCTCTTTCATACCTTACCAGCGTTACGCTCGTTTGATGTTTCTAACAGCTAAATTCTCTGTTAAGTTTGTTGTTGTGAATACCCTCAGCTTTCGATGTGGTAAGAGTGCCAGCGAGGCCTGGATTGTCTCAATTAGGCAGGCACAGACTGTGCCAAGTTGGCAGCACCACCTACGGGTTCGCTGGAAGAGCTGTGGTTCGACCGTCTGCCACATAGCGGCGCCACAGAAGCAGGCCACCGTGTTAGCTTAGTGGGGCCATATCAATGCCCTCACCTGTGAAACCATTGGTGCTTTACACAGCTGTGTTGTTACGGTATACTCGTATGGATGAAAGTTGGCAAGCTCTTTAAGTAGGTACGCATTACTTAGACTTTGCGAAGGTGAACTAGCAATTCGAATGCTGCTGTTGAGAAAAGACCAGTTGGTTCTTTCTTCGATGCCGTATTGCAATACGATTGACCTTCTGTCGTTATTTCCATGTCATAATATTGCATCTTCGTTGACTAACGGTCGTTAATCCCCTCGCTCTATATTTGTTCCTGTGCTGGTCCAAAAATTTCACAAACACCTCCCTACCCTGACCCTCCTCTCCTGTGATCCCATACTCTCTCCCCTCCTCTCCTCAGTGGCTGTCCACGAGCTGAAGCGGCGGCTGGCGCCGAGCCTCCGCGCCACTCCAGGAATAGGCGGCTTCCTCCGGTACTCTGCCGCCACCTCCGCTCCTCTCTCCTGTGCCTGGTCGACGTGCCGCCTCGCCAAGTGTTGTCCAACACGGTGACGGCTGTCAATAAAACCTGGCTGGGTTATCAGACAATGTGACGACGTGTATCAACTCAAAGGGTATGTTATCCCTTTGAGGTTTTTGAAAATGGTCTAGAGTCTTATCATGAAAGGGATTCAACTATTACTGAATGGTGTTATAACACACATAGCAGGTCTGGTTGCAAACCATTATTTTCGGAAATCACTCAGCCTTTTGATCTACCCTCCCCCACAGCTGTCTTTGTGAAGAAAAAAAGCTGTTCTTCACCCCTGACACCCCCCCCCCCCCCGTCTTTCCGCAGGACAACTTCCGTAAGTTGTTACAGCTGCAGGACCGCCTGCGCTACACCGAGATCGTCAAACCGGGCCGGACCTTCCTCCGCGAGGGGGAGCTGATGAAACAGTGCCGCAAAGGACCGCAGCCGCGCTTCGTCATACTGGTACGCTACCGGCGGTAACGTGGGGCTCTCAACGTGATGAATGGAGTATAGGGTAATCGTCAAACGGGTAGATTCCCTTCCGTGGTTACGTAGTGGTATTTTATCGCAGTGGTGATTGTTTCAGGTGTTTGAGTGACTTGTGTTTCATAATGTGGTCCACTCAATTTGATTCATGAATGATCGACATTGGGTATATTCCCATTTGTGGATTCCCTCTGCGAGTGTGTCGTGTGGGCGTTTTGCACCAGCCTGTCGTCTGTTGCCCGTGTGTGCTGAGCTGACTGATAGCCATCACAGTTGAGAGGATGATGCGATCTCTGTGTGTACGAGCGATAACACTGCTCTGATTGTCGGTGCAGGGGGTCAGGGGAAAGCCGATATCGCAGCCCGTTGCTTTGGATACAGTCAACAGTGAGGTGTATACTGGTTATGCTTGCAGTTACATACTTGCAGATAGCTGGTATGCGCCTTCTTATCCTAGGATGCTTATCCAATTGAAATGACTCCGTTTCGTGGGGGATGGGACATGAGAGACCGCATTTGGAACTGATACCAACTAAGGTTATAGCCATAGTCCAGTGTTATGCCAGTGAACAAATCATCCTATAGACGCGAACAGCGACATACTATTTGGCTTAAACGTTGACATTTTTGTATGCTTTTGGGCATGGTCAGGGACGCTCCTACCCAAAAAGCATGAAATGCCACTGTATGAGAAAACTACTCCAACTGCAGCTGACCGTCCCCTCCCTCTGTTCACCAGCTGACGGACAGTCTGCTGCTGACGCGCTACTCCGGCTCGGCTACGGCCGCCTCTGGCCCACTAAACCTCGACTACGTGCTACCGCTGACTGGCATGCACATCAGCGAACCGGGCGGCGCCACAGACGAGTACCAGAACGAGTTCTCCATCGTCTCCACGGCTCGCAGCTTCAGCCTGAAAGCTAGGTGAGCGGTGGGGAGGGGAGAAAGGGGAGGTACTAGGTAGCCTCAGCCTGACCCGCTGGTGCCTGAAAGCTAGGTGAGTGGTGGGGAGAGCGAGAAAAGGGGGCGGCCTCTGCCTGACTGCTGGTGAGGGGCAGCGGATGAGGGGAGAGGTAGATGTGGGCTAACCGCTAGGTGCAGGACGAGGGGCCGAGAGAGGAAGTGGCTGTGATCTAACCGTTAGGTGGCTGGAGCTGGGGAGAGGGTAGGAGAGGAGGCAGCATCAGTCTGACCGCTAGGCAAGGGGCGGGGATAGGAAAGGGAGCTTCAGTCTGACTGCTAGGTGGGACGACTAGAGGGGGAGTCAGCCTGACCACTAGGGGGTTGGCCGAGGGATAGACGAGAGGGTGCTTCAGCCTGACTGATAGGTGTGGGGGGGCACGGGGTAGGAGGAAGGTGGCTAGGTGGGTTAGGGGCAGGGGCGGAAAAGATTACCTCAGCCTGATCTCTAGTTGAGGGATGGGGCGACTAGACGGGAAGGGGAGCTTCAGCCTGACCGCTAGCTAAGAGACAGGGGGCAGATGGGAGGCAGCTTTTGTCTGACCCCGGGGTATGAGGAAATTCGGAGAACTCTTTAACGTTGTCGCGCTGTTTAGCATTCCTAGCTAGACGGTTAAATTTATTGATTTTATTCAATGGTTGGACTACCATATTGACAAAAAAAAGCTATTAGCATGAGGTGGAAGCGTAAGGTCACCACCGGCACCTTTTCTTTCTTTGTGTTCCGATGCGGTCTGTCCCAGGGTCTGTCTGTTAAGCTGACAGGCGATCCCCTGTGCCCTCCTTATCGTCCCCCATATTCACTGACCGTCCTCTGCCGTTTTTGTCCTCCGTTCACAGACGGTCCTCTCCCATGTTCCCGCTCCATTCGTGGCCATCCAACAGCCCTGGACTTGGACAGCGCCACCCGCCATCCTGTCATCAGTACCGGCGCGAGCGCTACCTCAGCTACAGTGCCGTGAGAACGGGCTCGTCCCAACTCCCTTCCGTCGCCAGCTTCATTCCTTACTTTAGTAAGTTCACGAGGCAAAGCAGCTTCACGGCGCCATCTACCTTTTGTCCCGTGCTGGTGGCGAAGTTTTCACCTGCGTGACCTTATAAGTATACGCAGCCATAGACGGATTTCCTTGCAATTCGATGTTTTCATTTAGCACTATTATGTACCCGGTATTCTTCTACATCCTCGGCGCTCGCTGTCTCTGTTGTGCCAGTATCAGCCCGTTGACGGATCCGAGTCTGTTGGATCCACTTCTGTTGCTGGGTGCCGGTCCTTGGTGCGACCCGGACAGAGTGCGGTTATCCCTCCCTCCCCGGAACTCAGCGGGTCAGCTAGGCCTCTGGAAGGGACACAGCTGAGAATGAGTCACGGAGCACGCGCTCGGGTGGGATGGGGGGGGGGGGCACTTTCCGGGGTGATCCACAGGGCTGGAAAGAATTGAAATTGTGGGTGAATGGGCTTTTAGCTCAAAATTGATATTATACCATTTTTACTTCCACTAAAAGACGTTGTGATTAAAAGGAATGTGCTTGAATTATTTTACCCTTGTGTAAGTAACACGCTCCGCGACTCCCATCGTTCAATCAGGATCTGCGCATAATCGTCTCCGGACAATTTGTCTGTCGCTAGGCCCCGACCATGACACTGGGATGGTAATACCCGGACTGACCCTCCAGACTGAGTCAGTTACCGCCCGAGGGGCCCTGAGATCCTGGGGAAGTGACTCAACTGGGGCGCGGATACTGAAGCTACGTCAGATCCTCCTTGTCGGGATGTGGAACGGGGTGAACCAGTGCTCCAGATTGGGTCGTTTTTTCCTCTATGTCGGTGATTCCCAAAATCTGTTAAACACTGGGCATTTTCGATTAGTTTGGCTGGTGTTAGCTCCACTGTTTCCTTTTCACTTGAATTGGTGGATGTGATCAACTTTCGGAGTTTTACTTACGAGGTTTCCGAACTTAATGGATGAGTACCTATTGAGCAGCTTCGCGCCTGAATACGTCAACCAACATTGCAGATGAATAACTTATTAAAGTTAAATTCCTCGTTTTTTTAACTGGACTTTTTACGATTTGACTAGATTTTACCAAGTAACAGGCTCATTAGCAGGCGGGATAGTGAGAGCGGGTATATCTGAAGAAGCGCCAATCGTGTACCATCCCACAATATGTCTCGATGGAGACTGGACGAACCCTGCGCCTGCTGATCCTTTGGCTGTTCACACTCAGTGCCCCGTGACCAATTTCCCGTGACTCGTGATCTATGACTCGTGATTTAGATTGTTGACCCGTGACTGTTGGACCAGTGAGCCAGTGACTCACTGTGTGCTCCGCACGTGACACCTCGTGCCCGGTACGCAGCGGCTGACTTCCGCGCGCGGATGTGGCCGGCGGTTTTACCTATTCCTAGCTGCCGCAGTGGGCCTCTATCGAGGCTCCTTGTTTTTGAAAAAGAAGATTGGCTCTGCTGTGAGGCCGGGACGCAGACAAGTGGCATACTTGCTGTCTATCGCTCAAACGAATGAAGTTTGCTGCTTCGGAAGAACTGTTATTAGTTTTTAGACAACCTTGAGCTCAGCACAAATTAGAAGCTAGCCTGAGCCTTTTGGTAATCGAAGTCCCCCATTGGATAAATAAATGTTCTGTATGCGTTTTAGTTTCACTCATATCTTCTTTCATTCACTAAATGGCTACCGCCTGCCCTGAGACGCTGAATAACGACTTTATTGATTCACTCTTCCGATGGGTGCCATTTTTTCTGTGATTTGTGCGATTATTATCATTTCTCCGCTCATCGGCGTCTATATCAATCAGCCGGTTGTTTCCGGATTGCATTTTATGCATCGTTTCTCCGTCGCCGTCACCGTAATAGCAGCTCGCTGTCTGACAGTGGCGTTTGCCTCATTTCCGCCTGCTATTTCCGTCATACATACACTGTTCGACCCAAGTCGTCGACCGGTGATATTTTATAACGAATGTGACGGCAACTGGTGAGCGGCCGGGTGAAATTCTGTCGTGATGTGTGCGAAGTACAGTGTGTCAACGTGCTGGCATCGATCCTGTCCCAGTGCGGCCGACAAGAAGTCGGCGCGCACGGCCGACTAGGCGGAAACGGTCGCTTCCGGCCGACGGAGGTGCATAATCTGTCGCCGAGTGCGCCGGAGAGAGCGAGAGAGAGAGAGAGAGAGAGAGAGAGAGAGAGAGAGAGAGAGAGAGAGAGAGAGAGAGAGAGAGAGAGAGAGAGAGAGAGAGAGAGAGAGAGAGAGAGAGAGAGACAGAGACAGAGACAGAGACAGAGACAGAGACAGAGACAGAGACAGAGACAGAGACAGAGACAGAGACAGAGACAGAGACAGAGACAGAGACAGAGACAGAGACAGAGACAGAGAGACAGAGAGACAGAGAGAGAGTCGCTGGGGACGATCGCTAGAAGTGCCCTGGCCCCTGACAGCATCAGAGAGAGGGTAGGAAAAATGTCTCGGGGGATGTTTTCGCTAGCTAGATGCCGTTTTGTCGTTTTGATATGGTTTCATGACGACGAAGTCCTATCAACAGGTGTTTTCGTGATCGCATTCAATGTTAACCTTACTGTTCTATTTTAAAGACTTTGTGGTCTGTGAGCGCAGACGTGGGTCCAACATGGAATCGGTCAAGCTGGTGGCGTCATCTTGGCTGGCTGTGCCAGCGCCACCTGGCACCGTCCCTTGCGATCGATCGTAGCAGGAATAGTGTCACGTCGGCTGACCATCTGACGTTCTCAGTGCTACTGCTACCTAAACGGATATCCAAACCATAGATTTTCCCGGTCCATCTAAAGGCCGCCCCACACTGGACCTCGCATGCGGGTTGCGAGTTTTTGGGTTTTCGGGTTTCTTTTAAAGTAAAGAATACACTCTATGTTGAGTGACCCACACCACCATGTAACAAGTGGGTCTGCATCTTTGTAGCAAGCGAACGAACTTGCATCGCATTCCAAAAGTTGATTTTAAGTCAACTTTCGATTTTCCTCGCTGCGAGGTCTGCGAGTTCTGCGAGGTTTGCGGGTTTTTCTTTGGAGTCGAATTTTGGTTCGTTGCGCTGGTATTGCGACTATATGTAAGTTTCTGAAGGTGTACCGACTTCACTGCATTCATGGAGTGGCCATAAGGAAACGGTGTAATCACTCAATGAATTAGTATTATGCCCGCAAACTCAAAACCCGCAAACTCGCAACCCGCATGCGAGTTCCAGTGTGGGGCAGCCTTAAGTCGTGAGCGAGGCGCTCGTCAAAAATGCTAACTTTCAACTCCATTTGAATTCAACAGGTATTTTTGTCTGAGTACCTATTTTCCTCCAATATGCCTACGCAACAAAATGTTTATTTTATTGTCAAGGCAGCCTTGGGGCAGCCTAGGTATTTATGTCGCAGAGCACATCTGCCGGGCAATTGATTTACCACGTTTTTTATACCACATCAAAGAGCGCTTCCGCCACGTTTTGACTCGCCAGCCCACTGGGAAATCCCAGCCCGTCAGTGGCAGTGTCCTTCACTCGTCGATCAACTGGCTCAATTCTGCGCCATATGTGTGCCATGAGCGCTCCAGACTCGACCAGTATGGAAGGAACTCAAATGTCTGTCATCTCTGTGTGTATGACTATGCAGACAAACAAGTAATGCGAATTCCATGGTTCGCTGTAACTACGTGGAGCCCGAACGGGTTTCCGTTCGTTGGAGCTGTTTGGGGGAGGGGCGGGGCGGGGACGGGCTGATTCTGTCACCATCACTGCCGATGATGACGTCAGCGCCGGCGTCGGTGCTGCCGGTGACCTTTAGTGACCTTTCAACAGCATTCAAATGCTTTTGGGCGCCGCGTCTTGTGGAAAAGGTCAGCGGGCTGCTGCCAGGAACCTTTCTACAGGTGTCTGTCCCGACAGGGGCCGCCAGGAGCGGCGCGGAGCCGGGGGACGGGACAGAGAGGGAGGGGTCAGCCAAACTCACACCGCCGCGCCGCCCGGGGCGGAAAGGTCACCAGCGCGGTCAGAGCTAAATGTGTCCCGGCGCACCCGAGCCGGCCACGCTAATTCGAGCCGAGCTGAATGTGCCTCTCTCGTCAAGTTAAATGGATATATCCAACTTCACTTGACCTACCCGACGTGGCAATTACATAACTAATCCCATGTCCTACTGGAACCGCTTTAGACAAATTTAACTACCTACTCTAACTTATATAAGTTTCCAACCCCGCGGCTACGTCTAAGCATACCAACCTTTCCCTAAATTGCTCTTTAGTTTTCACGTCCCCACATCGAACCGGATCCTACCTGACCTGACCCTAGCTGACCTGACCTGACTCTGCTACCCCGTTTCAGCTCGAACAAGGAGCGAGACGAATGGATGGACGCCCTGACTGGTGCTATCGAGAAGAACACACAGAATCGGTCCACATTCAACCCGATCTCGGACAGCGTGCAGGAGGGGCACAAACTCGGCGAAAAGGTCAGTCCCGGCGGCAGCGGAGGGATTGGGGAGTAGGAGCGGGAAAGGTCCAGCTTCAGAGTAGTTGACAGCTAGGGGGTGTGCTGGTGGTTTTCGCTAGCTGTGTGACTAGTAATACATTTTGCATACACGTTTTGTGTGGGTTCGATTCATGGCAGCACTTCATTTAACGTGGTCGCGTAGGCGGAACTTTGTGCCGAGCTAGGGGTGCGCCCGGGCGCAACAAATCCGCCGCCGCCCTAGCGGTGCCCTTGACCTCCGCGGTCTGTTACGGCTCCAAAGCCAAGCCGGCGTGGAATTGGGAGAGATTGGGCACTGGGCACAAAGTTCCTCCTATGCGTGGTAGTTTCAGTTTGTTTGATTTTTAATTATGTTTGAATGTGCTGTGAGCTACAGACCTATAGGACGGTTTGAGACTGCAGTAACCCATTGATAAAGCGTCGAGTCTTTTCAATGATTAATTGACTTTAAGAAGACTTGTACCCGACATCCCAGTTGACGGATTAGCACTTCCGACGTTGTCATTGACTGTCTAACCTTGTACGGCTCTGTTACACTCAACATTACCACAACGGTCAACCTCTCCCCAATTAGGTCAACAGTTAACTGGAATACCGACTTACCAAACACATGTCCTACTCCCAATTAGCTTGTTACTCTGACAGATACTCCGTAAATGACTCAGCACCGCCAACCAACCCGCTGCACCGATCGCAGACGCATCACCGTTAACATTGACTGGGGTTGGGTTAAATTCAACCGCTCACATCACGACATACGGAGCGCTGCAGTGCCTTGCCGTCCGTCCCGTCAAATATGTACGGCTCCGTCGGCCTGTTCGGACCGTGACGTTCGATGGATTTGTCCGCCAGCGGTAGCGGCGGCCGTATTAAGATGCACCAATCAGGGTGGTTTCCCCGCCCGGGACTGTCGGTCCAACAATGCAGGCCAGTCTGATCAGTTTCTGGATTTTTCAAACTGATCAGTCTCGGATTTGTAGGCGGATATTAACAACATTTTTGAGTGCCGTGAGATCTTTTCGGCTCGGTGGCTCCCTTCGTCTCTCGATGCGTGTGTGTATCTGTGTGTTTGTGTGCCCGTGTATGTATGTTTGCCCTGGCTGTCAGACTATCTTTGGCCTCGCCTGCATTCAGTTGTATGTATGTGTGTGTGTCCCGCTGTGTGTGCGTATCGACATTGGCTGCCTTGAGGATGTGGTAGCGCCGAGGGAAATATTTACCGGTCTCGGCGTGCTGGACCGGCCCTCCTGTCAGCGACGCCCGCCGGCTTCCGATAACATTAGCGCTGGTACTCTACCAATCACAAACGGCTGCCGGCTCCCGGTGCCGGGAACTCCCTCCGAACCTGGGGATGTTTCACCAAGGCGGACATAGTCGGTCTGCCCGCAGGCAGCCGGTAGTTCATTGGGTGGAATTGCGTTTTTACCTGACTACCTCAGGCTCAGTGCGTCAGTTTCTGCCTTGTGGGCGGCGTGTGTCTGACGGGTGGACTGTTTTGTCCATGATGGGTCTGGGATCGGACCGCCCTAGGGATTATACCACTGCACCGGCTGGGCCACATCTGGGTAGCATGCTCGGAACTCCTACCAAAATATAGCGCCGTCCACCCAGCCCTGTTGACAGTAGGCCGGTCGACAGTCGACCTTTAAGCTGCTATGTGTTGTGAGCTGGGCGGAGTGTTGTGTTGTGACGGAGTGGGAGCGGTGACCGTCGGCGGGCCGTTGTTCACCCCTCCTGTTGGGTGGCGGGGTGAGGCGATGCGTCAGAACCTCTAAAGGCCACAGCGGGCGGGCGGTCTAAAAATCGAATGTCTAAGAATGTGACCTTTATTGGTGCATCTTGCGAGCAGGTAGTTTCAATGGGTTCAATGGTGTCCAGACATGCAGTGCACTCAACCTAAATTGCCAGCTGCATATCTGCAGACTTTGCAGCTACAACCATGGGTGAATGCAAGAGACGTTGGTATACGCTTTCGTATACCCTACACTGGGAACTGAATGCCCCTGGCCGCCGTTAATGTATCGGCGATCTGCTAGTATCTGTATCTGGCTGCGCGGCGGCACTCTGTCCTCCCCCAGTCGATACTCGGGGCGCTCGGCCTCGGGCGTGCCGCGGGACTCCCCTCCCCGCCCGGTCGGCCTGATCACCCGCCCATGCCGCTGTATCTGGGTCGCCGCGCCGTCAGCTAACGAACCGAGCGCGCTCAGCTTCCGTCCCTGTCGACGAGCAGTGGCGCGCCGCGGCGGGTGGCGCGGCCCCGCGCCGGGCCAAGGACGGTCTCCGCCGACCAGGGGGACCGGGAGACCAGCGGTGATGGTCACTGGACGGAAACCAGGCGCGGGACGATGATCGTCATATCGGAGATGGTGTGTCAGCAACGGTAGCAAGGATGTGGTTTGGAGGAATACGGCCGGGATAGTTTTTTTTTCTCATAAATTTAGTCCGAACCCTTTGATTGGAAGGATTCACAAGGACAGGGCCCCCGCTAAGCGGAGCTTGTTGCGTTGACCCTGCCCTCTACCCTCCCATCGCGCAATCCCGGTTCTATGGCAGAATTCAGAGTCCAAAGTTTAACGTTGCAGTGCGCACATAGCCGCGCACGGCCGGTCCCCTCACTGACGCCGATATGGATATGGGGATGATGCTAGGTTTTGGAAGCAGACGCGGATGGCTGCCTTTATTCTGTTCGTTTTTTATGTGATCCGCGTAGTTTTGAGGTGAACAAGAGCGATTTTATTTAGCTGGGATGGTTGGACTGTCAAACCAGCCGTTTGTTTCGAAAATGTGGGGGTTACCGTAAGGAATGCGGAACCGGTTGACACTCCCTCGTGGGTGTTTCAAACGCTACCGCTAGATGGCTCTGCTCACAGGCGCCTGAAACTATACTGTGCCGCAACACACACACACACTCAGCCGTACCGGACTTCGCGTTACAAAGGCGTCTGTGGCTGTCTGATTAGTCCGATGATCTTATTTGATTGGTCCTTATATCTTATTTACCCCGTATACCAAGACCGGCGAGTGCTTATCTGTTTTGGACCACACCCTTTCAGCGCCCAGCGCTCACCCGTGGCGTGTGTTGTGGGGCGCGTCCGCTGCGCCGGCCTTGACCGGCCGACGGCGGCAATTACACTCAACCAGCGGCATTCAGCGCTGAAAGCTTTACGTCTCGTAAATTAGGTGGGAATGGCCTCTGTGACGGCCGATGGGATCCCCCTCTCCGATCTGCGGTCCAATGGTTAGCTCCCGCTCACCGCGGCGCAGCTGGCGGTAAACAGGGAGAATTCGGGCGCTCACTGGCGGTTTTAGGGGAAATATTTGAGTTGTCCTGCTGTATGGTTACCGATTAGACATGATTTCAGGACAGAGACAGAGAGGCTTTTTGAGACAGCTTTTGTACCGTGCTAAGTATGTACGTACCCAGCGTTTCTTGGCAATCGATACCGTTCTGCCTTCGTCCGTTTCCTCCTCCCATTAGATAGTCCCAGTTCTACCACAGACCACAATCTAACGCAGTCGGTACTCAGTCCCGGTTGGTGGTACCTCAGTCCCATACAGTCAGTCACAGTACGTGGTACCCCAGTCCTACAAAGTCAGTCACAGTACGTGGTACCCCAGTCCTACAAAGTCAGTCACAGTACGTGGTACCCCAGTCCTACACAGTCAGCCCCGGTACGTGGTACCTCAGTCCCATACAGTCAGTCCCGTTACGTGGTACCTCAGTCCCATACAGTCAGTCCCGTTACGTGGTACCCCAGTCCTACACAGTCAGTCCCAGTACGTGGTAGCCCAGTCCGGTACACCCAGTCCCGGTACCACTAATGACGGTGCCGGCCTCTCGCGATCGCCGGCCGGTCCGCCGGTAGCGGCGGCGGCGGTCCGTTCTGTTCCGGGCCATTACTGCCGCCCGATACGGCCGCCCCGGGGAGCGGACCGGCGGGCGGACGGCGCCGCGCGCGATGGAGCCGTTCAGGAGGCCATGTCGACGCCGACCTCTGCACATTGGCCGACCCTGGTGGAACGGAGATAGGAGGGACAGCGGGGAGACTGCTTTGGGGTATACTGGCTCAGCGTGGGGAGATTTCTACATGTGGGGACTTCTACATGATTTCTGCTTTTAGTATGCCAGCGTTTAGCACTGTTCTGTCTCTGTATAGCATCGTGTCAGCGTTCAGAACCAACTCAATGCACTGTGGCGTCGACACCCTGACTGCCTAATGTCTATTCATTGGGTCGGCGTCCAATGGGTCTCCGGTCTCCGCTTGGTGCGGCAGTCACGCCACTCGCGATAGGTCAGCGGCGCAGGACGGCCTCACTCGAACCAAATCGCCCCGGTCCTGATTCAGCGGCAACTTTGACCGCCGTAGCTAATTCATGACTCGTGGAATCGAACGCGGCTTATGTAACTGATGGCAGCCGCGCTCAGCCGAGCTGGTCATCAGAGGCAAATGTTTCAGCTGAAATGCGCCTATTTCAACTATCCTATTACATAACATCAATTATATGTGACCGCTAAAAGCATCTTTAGTTTGGAGTAGACCAGTACCTTATTTTTAAACCTGTTGCATCCATCAATCCGCTGTCTGCCCATTTATGTAACTGGGTATATCTGACTGGTTATCCGCTCACTTTTCCATCCTCACAACATCGTTTCAAATTTTATGTGATGTTTGCCTCTGAACAGAAAGGTCTGCGGCTCTCAGTTGTGGTCATAAAGTGGTCGAAGAGCATCATGGGTGACTGAACTTTCAACTCTGTGAAACTTATATCAAAACAGGGCTACAACGCTAGCCTGTACCCTAAGAAAAGCGGGCTTGGATGGGCCATGCAACAGGCTGGCCTTTCGGCCAACTTCAGGGTTCTGAGCACGAACGATTTCGGCCGCGGGCTGATGCAACTTATTTCGTATTTTGGACAGAAGCGGCACGCTGTTTACATATGTGATGTAAGCGTTCCAATTTTGATCTTATTGTTTAGCAG